AGGAAGTCCTGAAATATCGGAATACTTTTTTGCAGGTTTGCATGAAGGTGGTGCATCAATACTGAAGTCTGATTTTGGTTAAAAAAAGAAACAAACATTAACATGACCATAACAACATACATTTATTAAAACACCTCAATCTAAAAGCATTTTGTGGATTACTATAATATTACACTGTATAATAGGACCACACACAAACACAAGTGCTATAATATGCGTCCTCCACAATCCTGGCATTCCCTCCATCCTCAGAAGCACCTTCACTCAGATAACCTCATACCTGTTAGAGATAGAAAAACTGGATTTATGATGTGCCAATAGAATGAGTTTCTTGGCGCACCATACAGGACACAGGATATTTGGTCTTTACTATGGGTCATATTCAGTGATTGGACACTGGCAAAAAAAGAAAGTTGATGGAGACATCCTCTATTTAACCACTCCCAGTTAGCCTCAGTTTTGTAGCAAGCAATCTGGAGATAATGAACAGAGAGAAAAGACCTGTTGCTTTGTACTGTACTTCAGAAAATGAATTTTGCTTGTAAGTCAAAAATTCTATTTTATTAGTCATATATATTACACAACACAGGATCTTTAGTGTTTTTATCCATGCGACATCCAAAAGCAGTCTGTGCGGTGGGCAACACAGCAAACGCCAACAGGCCTATGTAACAAGTCAAAACGGGCTTGTCAGACTCAAACAGCAGCTTATAGCACCTTAAGCCTCAAATTGGCATCAAAAGAGGCCTGAACATCCACATGGTAAAACTTAAATGTGTGAAAAGAAAAGCAGGTGGCAGCCATGCAAATCGGAGAAACAGAGATGCCCAATACTGAAAAGCCAATGACGCACTGCCCAATCTTGTAGAGTACACCTTAACAAAGAAGGTAGGAACCCTATCTTTTAAATTCTCTTCTCAAATGAGGACTTGTCTAATCCATCTTGCAAATGTAGAGGAAGACAGGGAGCACCCTGTGGGAATTCCAAGGATTATAAAGAGGGAATCTGATTGCCTAAACGAGGCTGTGGTCAAGAAGGTGATTCCCATGGGATATATCCTGTTAAGACAGTGTTGAAAATTTTTCTTGGGATGTTTTGAAGCAGGATATTACGACGACGAAAGGCTAATCTCCTCATTGGAGTGGAAAGAAGAAACCACCTTAGGGAGAAAAGATTCTTTAGGCCTCAGGATAATCTGGTCTAGGAATGACTCTTTACAGGATAAGGCTACTAACCCTCCACACAGAGGTGACAGCATTGAGAAAGCCCACAATGCATGTAAGGTCAGATAAGGGAACAATCCTAACAGGTTTGATGGACAGAAAGAACTAGGTTATGGTCCCAAAGAGTCACTGGGAAACAAACAGGGAGACATGTGCGACACGCTACACAAATGCCTAAACCAAGGAATGAAAGGACAAAGGTTCTCTGAAACAGAATGGCCAAGACCAAAATTTGCCATTTGATGGTACTCAATGATATTGATCTGGACCACACTGAAAGGACGACATAACTGTCCCAGGGAATATTTCCTAGGATGAAATCTCCTGGTCTTGCACAATGCAACAGAGTTACTAGATGCAATGGCAGACCTTGAGAGAAGTCAACTTCCTAGCCTTCATTCATTGACTCTAATAGGCTCCTGTCCCTTGGGTTCTGAGCTTCAACAGTTATGCAATCAAAGCCAGTGACCTGCCAGATACAAAATTATGGACAAGTCCTTGAGACAGAGGGTCCACCAGTGCCCATGGAGAGTCTGTCAGGAGTCATGGAGTATGCCCAAGTACCAAGTCTGGAGAGGTTGAAAGGCACAGATCAAACAGAACTGATCCCATGGAGTCAACAGAATATTCACTGCTAAAGCCTGAAGGTCCCTGGCCCTGGTGTCAAACCTGTCCAGTCTGTTTGATCTGGACACCAGAAGATCCTCATCTGATGTCCCCTACCTGCAGCAAAGGGCTTGGTACACCTCTGGATAGGTCATCATGCTGATGAGAGGAGCTTCTGAACAGTAGAAATATTATCCATTTGTCCTTGTGGGGAGAGTGGAAAAAGTGAGAGCATGAAACAGGGAGGAGGCAGTCAAAAACTCTAGGCTGGATACGACGCTATGGGCCCAAACATTGCAGTTTTTCTGGGATCAGAAGGCCGACAAGGGTCTGACAAGTGAAGGCAGCCCCATCACTTAGAAGAGGGATAGAAGCCCCACTTGGCTTGTCTGAAGCTTTCAATAAAAGTGTGTTCCAGACCTAGGTTTGGAACTGGAGGCCTGTTTTTTAAGAGATACCATTATATTTATTGCATGGATTTTGTACAATAAAATACGGTCAAAGAAATGGGAGATGGCCTGGAGTAGTTTTTTTTAAGAAGAAGATGTATAGGATTGGTTTATAGAATTTATAAAAGACAGGTGTTGGGATTTTAATTGAAAGATTTTGTGTGGTACTGGAAATGATAAAACATCTTTCATTAAAGAATAGAACTGATTTAAAATATTCTTGAATCTAAGGTCACAAAGTTTAGGCCTCATGCATGCTGGGTTAGAAAAAAAGACATCACTTTCACAGGCATTTGATTTTGTTTTTTTTTTTAGACTGTAAAAGTATCTGTATGTTAGTCCATTCGCGCACAGGTGTTTACATGTTAAAAAAATAAAAACAAAAAACACATTAACAAAAAGTAACAGTGAAGTGGCAAGTGGGCAACCAGATAGGATTATTGCACAACATTCATTAAAATTGCAAAAATAACATTAAAAAAGCCACTGAAATCAGATATTGTGGTAGAGAACTCCTCCCTAGGTTTGTAGGAAGAAGAATATACAGCTGACAGACCAGCAGAGTGCCCAGAGAGAGGCAACGTGCCAGACTGAAGGCAACTGCAAGTACTAGGACCCAGTGATCTCCAGTGTTCCCACCCTGGAAAAAAAAAGTGAATAAAAAATGATGGCATGATCCATCTTCAGCCTATGCATACACAAAGCCATTGTTTCCTATAGCATTCTAAGTGCATTTCTTGATATCAAAACACACAATAGTGCCTGATAAGAAACCCAATAGTCATAGACAAGACCACACAGTGTAATCTACCATTTCCATCACAGGTATGTATTTATATTGAAAATGTTTCTGCAAAGTGGAATGGGGAGAGAGATTAGTTAAGTGTGCATCCCTAATTTTTTTAAGTTTTGCGAGGCAGTCTAATAGCTTTCTTGCAGCATAAATAAATTTAATTTACACACTACTCCTCCTTATGTCAATCATTGCTTTCATAGCAGTAAAACCTGACAGGAGTTCTAACCTGTCCCCATTCTATTCAAAACTAAAAAAAAATAAAAATGCAATTAAAAAAACACAATCTTTTTTTTTTTTCCTCAATTGTTCTTCTAGCCAAGCATATTTATCCTCCTACTCATTTGTCCTCATTCATCAGACTACATCATCTTTTTCACTCAGAAGACTTGTTCTAAAAACTACTGTGTAAATAGTGTAGGATGCCCTTGCAAGTATCACAAAGGCTTTGCAGTATTGATGTTCTGATGTTGTTCCTGTTAGGCCTAAGGAAACACAAACAACGGAGGCAGCTAGTCTGAGCTATTTCATTTATTGTGTGTGAGCCTGGTGTTTCTTGATTTAGGTGGTCGAAGCCACACTAATGTGTCTGGAAGATGACTGAGGAAAAATATGCAGTACATCTCCACAATGCATGCACACTTCAATATGGTTTGTGACTGAAAATCCTGCAAGTACAAAAAAAAAAAAACAAATCTGTTGCTCTATCAGAAAGCCAGTGTACTAACTTCCTGTAGTGAGCTGACAACATGCTGCCTCAGCTGCACTGAAATCCTAAGTAGTGGTGTTATCCATGCGCCATTCTCTTCTGCTAGTCTATAGCACAGCTCCCACTCTCCTCATCTCCATAACACAATGGAGAGGTATTTGGTAATGAAGAGGATAACTGGGCAGGGCTAACACTGCCTGAGATTTTAGGGCAGCAGAGATAGTGAGACTGATTTAGTAAAGGCAAATAGATTGTGTACTTTTACAGTGCAGTTGTACTCCGCAAGTGCAGTTGCGCCAGAGCTTAGTAAATGAGGGAAAGCTCTGATGACTTCCAACATCCAATCACATGCAAACAAAAACGGTTTTTCAGTTTTTAATGTTGCTTGCATGCAATAGGGTATCCTTTGTAAAGTGAAGCTTTACCTCATTTACTAAGCTCTGGGGCAACTTGTAAAGTGTACAGTCTTTTTGCTTTTAGTAAATCAACCCAGGTTAGGCACTTAGGTAGGTTAGGAACTTGGGCACACAATAGATTTCTGGCAGGAGTAAACGGATATGGTTTGTACTGGCAGTGCTTTTTAAAAGGGATAAACTTGACATAATGTAAAGAAGAGATGTGCTGAATATGTTCTTTGCACAGACATACACAAAATAAAAGCAAGAGAAATGTTAGATGTTGGCAGTGTTTCAGAAAGGGTTGTAGACAACAAACACAACACTGATTTTGTATTTATTATTTATACTAAATGATTAATTATACTGAATAATTTACATTTTGATGCAGCTAATAATCACCTAAATAGCATGACTTGTGCTTTCCTACAAAGTCAATATAGCTACATCACTAAGTAATGAGGCAGCTCGGTCATACATTCCCTCCCTTGTGGCCAAATTGTGTGGAAAAACTGCAGAGTAGCAACACGAGACCACAATTTCTGCGTACATTTTAAAAATTATTTTAATCTTTCAAAATATTAGTCAGTTACACCATGGCTTATTTTAGGTGTGTCTGGGGTCTCAGTGAATCAATGCATGAAATAAATAAATACAAGATAGCCATTTCTGCTCTATATTAAGCTGATCTAGCTTATACACTAAAGACAATCAAATGCCTAACACAGAGGAAAGTGATGTAAGTCGGCATGGCATCAGTGAAAGTTATTTGTTGGATTTTATTATTTATAAATACACGCTAAGCAGCTTACAGCTCGGATCATTTAGTTGCCATGGCAATGCCCTTTCTAAAGCAAGAATCTGTTTCAGGTTCTTCCAGGTCCTGTTCTTCTTGCCAGCTGCCGCTCCTCCCAATTCCTGAATGCTGCCGAAAAAAAACGTGAAAAAAAAAAATCAATTGGGCTTAATGTTATGGCCATAAAGGGTTGATTGTTATTACAGATCAGATTGCAGGTCGTACAAAGAATGGAAGAACAAACCAGAAACAATCAGGTAAAAAAACAACATTTATATTGTTCACGGCATAGGTAAACACAAATGCATTCCACCGGATACCAGATATGCTCCTGTAACCAATTCAATACCGGGCAATTTTACCCCCTTCCTGCCCAGTTTTCAGGTTTCAGCGCTCTCACACTTTGAATGACAATTGCACAGTCATACAACATTGTACCCAAACTAAAATGTTATAATTTTCTTCACACAACTGGAGCTTTCTTTTGGTGGTATTTAATCACCGCTGGGGTTTTTATTTTTTGCTAAATTAACAAAAAAAGACCAAAAATTTGGAAAAAAAAAAAACGTTTGTTTCGGTTATAAAAGTTTACAAATAAATAATTGTTCTTCATAAATTTAGGCCGAGATGTATTCTGCTACATGTCTTTGGTGAAAATAACCCAAATTAGGATGTATTTTTTAGTCTGTAGGAAAGTTATAGAGTTCACAAACTATGGTATAGATCAGAATATTGATCAATCCTGAAGTACTGACAGCCAATCTAATTTCTTGAGGTCCAAGAATGTCAGAATAGTACAGATATCCCCCAAATGACCCCTTTTTGCAAAGTAGACAGTCCGACGTACTTCACAAGAGGCATGGCGAGTTTTTTGAAGTTGTATTTTTTTTGTCATAATTTTTCGGAAAATTAAAAAATATTTTCACTATTTTTTTTTTTTACATACTGTCACCAGTGCAGTACAGCATCATCATATAACTGGCATGGCGGTGATCAGGGACACTGACTGGTGATGGTATAAAAAAAAAAAATATACAATTTTTTTTTTTTACATTTTTTTTCAAGTTTTTTTTTTCATATTTCACTATGACCAAAGTAGTACAATGTTACCATAGTAACATTGTACTACTTTAAGGAAGTGATCAGTATTTTTTTTTTTTTATATATACACAATTTGCTTATAGCAAAGAATTACTTTGCTATAAGCAAGCATTTACCTGAATGACATCAATTCATTCAGGGTTTTTTTGTTTGTGCTTAGCTGTGATTTGGCCACAGCTAATCACATGACATGTGCATGTGATTAGCTGTGACCATTCACAGCTAGACACTAGTATACAATGGATGGCATGAATGAAGCCATCCATTGTATACAACTGTCACGTGACCTGCTGTGATTGGTCACAGCAGGTCACATGGTACCGGCAACGGGGCCGATACCGATCGCAGTGCAGGAGCGCAATCTGCGCATGTGCGGGAGGACGCCATATGGCGTCCACCCGGAACGCTGATGACATTCGCCGCCCGCCATTCGGCCATAGGGCGGGCGGCAAATGGCTAAAGAAAAAAAAAATGTTTTCTGACAAACATGACATGAAAAAAAAAAAAAAAAAAAAAAAAAAAAAAAAAGTATACTGGTCTGCATAACACTTTAAAAGAAATATATAAAACCTTTTCTGCCAACGAAGGAATCCAAGAAGAAAAATAAAAAGGCTCTTCCTGCTGGACCTCAAGAAAACGTAATCCAACTCCAGACTTGCCTCTTAGCTGTACGCACATTTGAGCCAGTTTAAAAGAACGCGGCTGAGTGAAGGTTTCCCCCTTCCCCCACTGGTTTGTGCTCACACTACTTTGTAAAGAAGTGTGCCCAGGAACACTTCCCTGCCAACCCGACCAGGGATCCCTGTTTTATTGCACAGTTGCTCTCAGCAAAGCCTATGAGAGCAGGAGAAGAGAGAGCGGTTACAGACAGGTTCAGGTAAGCATGGGGGGGGGGGGGGGGGTGGGGTGGGGGTGGGGGGGGGGGGGGGGGGGGGGGGTGGGGGGGGGGGGGGGGGGGGGGGGGGGGGGGGGGGGAATACTTTAACCTAAACATTTTGTTATCTTGACGCAATTAATGCATTAAAGTCAAATGTTTTGGCTTTAGAATATCTTTAAAATTGAGAGGCTGATCAAGGGAAAAAAAAGGTGAAAGAAGTACCCCACATCAAAATAAAAGTGGAAAGACAACCACACCATACAGGTGCTGCAACACCAGAAAATAGGATGAGTAGACCAGTCAACAAGCAAACCTGGCAGTACCACTAGAACATGACAGGGTAAATCCGATATACTTTACCCAGTACATGGGAAGACAGTTCCTATGACCCCCCCCCCCCAAACAAACAAACAAAGCATCCACAGCCGCACTAAGAAAAAGGGGTGGATATAGAAAAGAGGGGAGTCAATTTGAATAAAAATGATTAAATCTCAATGTAACAAAGGATAAATCAAATGCCTTTACCCCAAAAAAAGATCCCAGATCCACCATCAGCAAACAGGCTTTGGTTCTATAAAATTGAAACAAATGACACCACATACAGTGGGGCAAAAAAGTATTTTGTCAGCCACCAATTGTGCAAGTTCTCCCACTTAAAAAGATGATAGAGGCCTGTAATTGGCATCATAGGTAGACCTCAACTATGAGAGACAAAATGAGAAAAAAATCCAGACAATCACATTGGCTGATTTGGAAAGAATTTATTTGCAAATTATGGTGGAAAATAAGTATTTGGTCAATATCAAAAGTTCATCTCAATACTTTGTTATATATCCTTTGTTGGCAATGACAGAGGTCAAACGTTTCCTGTAAGTCTTCACAAGGTTGGCAGACACTGTCGCTGGTATGTTGGCCCATTCCTCCATGCAGATCTCCTCTAGAGCAGTGATGTTTTGGGGCTGTCGCTGGGCAACACAGACTTTCAACTCCCTCCAAAGGTTTTCTATGGGGTTGAGATCTGGAGACTGGCTAGGCCACTCCAGGACCTTGAAATGCTTCTTACGAAGCCACTCCTTCATTGCCCGGGCGGTATGTTTGGGATCATTGTCATGTTGGAAGACCCAGCCACGTTTCATCTTCAATGCCCTTGCTGATGGGAGGTTTGCACTCAAAATCTCACGATACATGGCCCCATTCATTCTGTCCTGTACATGGATCAGTCGTCCTGGTCCCTTTGCGGAGAACCAGCCCCAAAGCATGATGTTGCCACCCCCATGCTTCACAGTAGGTATGGTGTTCTTTGGATGCAACTCAGCATTCTCTCTCCTCCAAACACGACGAGTTGTGTTTCTACCAAACAGTGCTATTTTGGTTTCATCTGACCATATGACATTCTCCCAATCCTCTTCTGGATCATCCAAATGCTCTCAAGCAAACTTCAGATGGGCCCGGACATGTACTGGCTTCAGTAGGGGGACACGTCTAGCACTACAGAATCTGAGTCCCTGGCGGCGTAGTGCGTTACTGATGGTAGCCTTTGTTACATTGGTCCCAGCTCTCTGCAGGTCATTCACTAGGTCCCCCCGTGTGGTCCTGGGATTTGTTGCTAATCGTTCTTGTGATCATTTTGACCCCACGGGGTGAGATCTTGCGTGGAGCCCCAGATCGAGGGAGATTATCAGTGGTCTTGTATGTCTTCCATTTTCTAATTATTGCTCCCACAGTTGATTTGTTCACACCAAGCTGCTTGCCTATTGCAGATTCAGTCTTCCCAGCCTGGTGCAGGTCTACAATTTTGTTTCTGGTGTCCTTCGACAGCTCTTTGGTCTTCACCATAGTGGAGTTTGGAATGTGACTGTTTGAGGTTGTGGACAGGTGTCTTTTATACTGATAACAAGTTCAAACAGGTGCCACTGATATAGGTAATGAGTGCAGGACAGAGGAGCCTCTTAAAGAAGAAGGTACAGGACTGTGAGAGCCAGAAATCTTTCTTGTTTGTAGGTGACCAAATACTTATTTTCCACCATAATTTGCAAATAAATTCTTTCCAAATCAGCCAATGTGATTGTGTGGATCTTTTTTCTCATTTTGTCTCTCATAGTTGAGGTCTACCTATGATGCCAATTACAGGCCTCTCTCATCTTTTTAATTGGGAGAACTTGCACAATTGGTGGCTGACTAAATACTTTTTTGCCCCACTGTATGTAAACACTAAGCCCCCCGAGTGAATATAGGAAAACATTTACAAGTTGGCTTGCACATAGCCAAGCAATTACTGATGGGAAAAGTCCCGTATGTATGTATGGCTACTCCAGGACTATGGCAAAATGGCCACCAATCGCTCGACTCTTATAGCCTCCCCACCCAGCCGATGTCTGACATCATGTCTGGGCGCTAACATGTTATTGGAGCCCACGCATCAATTCACCGGCCAACCACAGAGAGAATACAGTCAGGCAGACTTCCAAATGGGAGGCACAAAGCATACCCAATATGCATGGAAAGTAATACAGGGCTTGACAAATTTGCTTTGAATCTAGGAGCCAGATTTATTTATTTTTTTTCTTTAACTAACAAAGCTTTATTTTCCACGATAAAAATAACAGATTTTAGATCTGTTCAGAGTATAAATGGCAGAATAAAATACAGTTGCAAGAAAAAGTATGTGAACCCCTTGGGATTATGTGGAGGTTTGCATGAATTGGGCATAAAATGTGCTCTGAACGTCATCTAAGTCACAAGGAATAACCTCAAGCAAACGTTTCCTGTAGTTGCAGATCAGACCTGCACAACGATCTGGAGTAATTTTGGACCACTCCTCTTCACAAAACTGTTTCAGTGTAGCAATATTCTTGGGATGTCTGGTGTGAATTGCTCTCTTAAGGTCATGCCACAGCATTTCAATCGGGTTGAGGTCAGGACTCTGACTGGGCCACTCCAGAAGGCGTATTCTGTGCTGTTGCAGCCATTGTTTTGTTGAATTACTTGTATGCTTTGGGTCATTGTCCTGTTGCATCACCCGTCCTCTGCGGAGCTTCAGTTGGCGGACAGATGGTCGTACGTTTTCCTGCAAAATGTCTTGATAAACTCTGGAATTCATTTTCCCATCAATGACAACAATCCGTCCAGGCCCTGAGGCAGCAATGCAGCC